TTCCTTTCTGTTTGTTGTCGTAAAGTTTTTAACGACCAGTTGTTGATAAGTTTTCGTCTAGACTGTAGACAGATACGTTGTTGCAGGGGGCGCTCAGAGCGGTGTGAGTTTGGTGGTGGCCACGAGAATCAGGAAAAGAAAAGAAAGATGAGCCGACTACTCAGCAAGTACAAGTTTAACACCGTTAACCAATGTACTTTTGTGAAACATTCTACAACTGTTACTCTTATCTCACTTATCATATCTGTCAGATAGACAAACCTGTGGCGTTTTCACATCTGCTTTCAACATCTGTGTCTCAGTCATACAATATGACTGGGTGAACAACCGTGCAGTACACTTGTCCTTCAGTGGGTAGTTGGATATCTTGTGAGAGCCAAAGGTGGCGTTAATCGACAAGTGGTAAACAGACCTTTTGTATTCGAGCTGAGATTTTGCCAGCAACCAACTCACTAGGGCTTATCCAACTCTGCAAGTACGTGAGGTCATGAGAGATTTTCTACCACTCGGTGCGTACTTGTCCTGAAGCATCATTTTTCATTTGACAGGTAACAAAAGCACGACAAATATACTCAAACCTCTCAAGTTATACATCTGATGCCAATATTATACGGTAGCTTTACAACTGACAAACCCATTTGTTCCTTCTAAACCGTCAAACATTTTTGCACAGCAAGTTATAACTTTTTTAAGCTCTAACAGGTGAACTGTCAATGCATCGTTATACTAATCGTAATAGTTATGAGTAATTCAAATTTAACCGGTATTTTCATCCGTGTTTTGTTTACACATATAAAGCGTATTTCCCTCCTATCTCTTTGCTAATGTTGTGTAGATATTGTGTTCTTGTTTTACAGTGTATATTATTGATCCGTTGTTTACGTGATTTATGAAATATCATAAATAAGTCACTAATCTCTGAATAAGTTTACTGGCTTACTCTCGCCTTTTATCGATTTTTTTTCATGTATACCACATGCAGAAGGGAAATGAATGGTAACGGATGAAATTTTTTCTTATTGACATCTGACAGTCGAATGATTGGTCTATTACTATCAAGTAAAGGAGTCTATTAGCTTGGCATTTTTATTTTCATCGGGTTGGTTACCAAAGAACGTTTTCTGATGAGAAGTGTTTTCTAGGTAGGGAGTATCCCAGGGATACTGACTCGACTACTGAATAGAAAACAAGAAGCAGATGGTTATCTTCATCACACATTTAAATGTTCCTTGAGGATTCTTAGCAAAATTTCCCGATTGCCCCACCTACTCTCTGTATGTCTCAGTGAGAGTTACAGTCTATTTGACTCCATTAGATGACAGTGCTAGTTAGTGACTCTGTTAATGGTTCTATCACGTTGCGAAAAGTATGTTTCAAGAATATGAAATGAATATTTCAGTCAAACCTGTCGCTAACAAATACATTTGAACCATCTGTATAAGGAATTCTGTCAGAGATGATCTATATTTAAAAAAAACCAAAACTTGATATATTTGATGGTAATGGCTAGCAGTAGAACCCAGGATTTAAATTCCTTCCTGTTTGGGGCTTCTCAAAAGCATCTACTTTCATCCTAATGAATGAGTATGTTCCCATTGAGACTTGGACTACAGCCACCAACTTTTACGTATCGATACTTGTCACTCAGCATCTAAGGACAATTCCTTGCAGTAGACAATGTGTCACACCTATTATGTGAGGGCTTGATGCCACCTGACTGCCCACATATGAGTAGATGGAGTGGAGTAGGAACCCATGACCCCATTGGCTGGAAGTGGGATACATAGACCAATCAGCCACAGCTCTTGTTTTTTGTTTCGCTGAACTAAAGTGTTGGCATACAAGCTCCAATACTGTTGGAAAAACTATAAGTGGAAACAACTTACTTCATATTCATAAAGTCCTCGAACATAGTTTCTTGAATTTCTTCGTTTTATGGATATTTTAATGAACGTTTATCCCTACCATAACCTTGTCATTGTTGTGAGTGTATTATTTTATATCTGTACACTAAGTGGTTTGATGATTGTAATCAAAAACATCCAGGGTGTTGAGGGAATATAAACTGACGAGTCTCAAGTAGGACGAAACGAGCGTCCTGGATTCTTCTGCTAGCCACGACCAAACAAGTTACCTTAATTAACATTCAGACAATATCGAGGTATCCACATTAGAGCTCATATGCCAATTGTGGTCGAAAAATTCGAGCCAATGAAACAACGAAGGATTCCAAGTATGTCACTAAATAGTGATAATTTTTCTGTTTACCGATTCCCTAATGTATCAAAAGAAGGGTGAGATAGAAACAAATTTACAACTTCAGTCATTGAATATCGGATGTGGTTACTGTCTGAGTACGAAATGCGTACCTATTTGGATTTAATCAGTTAGGTCGCTCGTTCTTAAGAAATCTGAACGGTTTTTGAAAATTATTTGTTCTTTGAACTGGTAGATAGGTAATGAATATAGATCGGCAAAACGACAAGCGATTATATAATTTCTAGATGAAATATTAAACAGCCAACGATATAATTCAGCATGTGAAAAAATGCCTGAGATGGCGGTTGTTTTGTATTGTATAAAAATCAGTAAATGACTGGTTATTCTGTATCTTACCATCATCTCGATGAAATATGGCCACCGAAATGCATCACAAATATTTCGCAGTAGACAATCATGGACCATTGTTAAGAGGTGTTGAATGCAGAACGCCTTTCTGTATGCAAAAGACATTTAGTCATAGCAGATGTTTGTAACTGTTCACATCATTCAGCAGTATGCATATGTCATACCAGTTGACACTGTTTTATCCACCTTATCTTTCCAATTCAGCTGAGGGTCGGAAGAAGTGCCAATCTACTGAAGTAAAATTGTGTTGGTGTATATATGCATTCTGCTTGAGATAATTTTTACAATTCGCCCCATTGTGTATAATCAGTAATCCAGAAGTCATTATTCTGAAGACATCTGTGACATGACTTACTGTACTGATTCGTAATAAATACGAATGAAATTTTCAAACTTATACAGAAAAAAGAAGAGTTCTAATTGGAATTCTTATATTCACACAATCAAGCAAATTTAAACGGTTCCGAATCATACAGTCAACCTCATTCGCATGATAAGTACCTATATTCACAATACCGTTGTCACTGTGGTATTTCAATGAATAGCAACTGACAACCATTGTACGAGAGATGGTCCACGTTCTTCACTGGCCTGGCGGATAATGCAGTGACGTTTGAAGGAATCGGTACTGGGTTCGAATCTCAGTGGGAACACTGTCACTAGAATTCAGGTACATCCTGATGACGAGTCCCACGTATGACGAAATATGCGTCTAGTGTCGAGGTGTCGTGAAATTTGATACCACATAACAACGGGGAATTACAAGAGCCGATAGATATGCAGTCGGATTATAAAACCAATCACAGTAACACAAGATAACAGTAACCAATGGGAGTTATAACGTACTTAACTGTCACACGCTTACGGGTGCTTAATATGAACTACATTTGACCAACTCAAACTTCCGGCTAGGTATGTCCAGTTATCACAGATTTCTTCCGAAGTCACTCTTTAGTCATAAGTAGATAGTCTATTTATTAAGTGTATAACCTGTGTAACTACTTGAATAATCCTTAGGACCAACCACCTCAGCAAATACTGAAATAAGTAAATTCCTCTGTTTTCTGATATATTTCCCTTCCAGGTGAAATAATGGGAGCGAATAGGTTGTTTCAATAGTTGCAGACCTTCATACACTGTTGTTAGAGATGGTAGTATCCCTTACTTATTTTCTTACTTGTCTTAGTTTTGGAATCTTTCCGTTTGCGTGTTTTACTTTCATGTGAGATATGTTTCATATGACTTGCTAGAGTCCTGATTGGTTATGGCCTCTTTTGATGTAATAGTTAACCTTTGTCTTTCAACATCACTGTAATTTTTTACATATAATGTCGATCTTCAATAATTTGTCTTAATTTCGGGATACTATAAACTACATACCACAAACTTTACAAATCACCCAGGTTGAATCGTGTCAACCATCGAGTTTTCTAATCGTTAATTACTTTCGTTTGTTCTCATAACTCTGCATCATAACGATTGTGCTGCATAAAAACATCGCAATACAACTCAAGAATTCATTGCATCACTCTGTGCTATAAACTGCCAGCTTTGGATTTTTTCGAGACAGTAGCAACAGTTGAACCACTGGGAACCATCACCAGGCGAAATCAACATAGAACCTGGCAAAACATGTTTGGATTCAAGTTACCACACTTCACAACAGCATGCAAAGAACAAGTGAGTAGAAAAAAACTGGCAGCAAAGTGGAGAAAAGTGTATGGGAACAAAAAAAATTTGAAAATCCAGGTTAGTTAGTATCTTCAAATTTCAGAATATATCAAAGTGTGAACAGATCTGCGCCGTTGTGACCGTTTTTCAACCATGTCACCAAGGGTCTTCAGCTATTGTCTACTATTATCTCAAGGACCACAATCAAGCAGTCTACATCTCCCTCCACTGCTCACGCCAACAATTATGAACTTTATCGACTGGTACCGCGTCTTGGTCTGATCACCCTTGGTTTTCATACTAACTCAGTCCTATTCCTACTTACTTTGTAGGTTGACATAGTTGGTGGTTCGGCACGGGCAACACATGTCTAACAAGCCACCTCAATCAGTGAAGATTCGCAACCTCATCAACTGATGGAACCACTGAGTGAGCGTTGAGATAATAAAATTTATGACGCAATTGTACGTTTGGGGTATTGCTTATCGCTCAGAAGCTGTCTGTTTATTTTTCATTCACTTCCACTGCATCGTTTATTTAAAAACCTTTTTCCTTTTATCGTGTTATCCTTCTCCGTTACGTTGCAAATTGTGTCAGACTAGTGAGTGCAATAAAGTTTTGCATTATTTATCCAATTACTTAATCAGTTTTTATTTTTGCTTGTCTTATGAATTATGTCCATATCCTTTTTTTTAATTTAGATTCACGATGGACATTGGCTGGTACAATGAGTTTAGTGGGCTTATTGACAGCGATTGCCGCTTTCATTGTCCATTTAACTCTTGCATATTGTAAAGCTAATCACAAATGGGTGAATGTACTTGTTGAAGTTGTATTACTTCTAGTAGCTGGTAAGTAAGATTAGTACCTACCACTCAAGTATAATGTTATTTCCTCTATACTGTTTTATTGACTGGTTAACAAGTAAATGTGATGACGATGTGATAATTAGATTCTATGAGTAGGATACAAACTACGTCAGGTGACTGTAACTGTTGCACTCTTCATTTACCTGTTCTCAGCAGTGGTTTCATTCGGGTTAATTATGATTGATTTCCTAAAATATTTTGACTTCCGATTTGACTATCATCTAGAGGGTAAATGTTTGCAAAGTGAAGTCAGTCATTTTTTTCATGAGTCTTTATCTGGTCAACTTTAGGTCGAATCATACTTCAGTCAACCTAACAAGTGGAAACAAGTGCCGCCACAGTCAGTCTCCTGCTTTTCGACTCACAGACGGAAACCTTTCATTCTTTATATTTGGAGCAAGTTGATATTTATTCACTCATTTAATTAAAAATACTGTTCCTGGTTTCTCAGTAGGTAGATTAGTATTCAACAGCTGTATTAGAATCCAGTATTGGACCTGTTTTAGGTTCAGTTAAATTGCAATACGTTGTGGCCACTGTTGAACACCGCCAGTGAGTTTCCATTTGTATTTCAACTCCTGACTGATTTGAGGCGATGTACTGCTAAAATTTCTAAACTGACATGAAAAAGTGCTCCATTTCACCGTATTTCTCACTGGTTATTTAATTCGGATCAGTTCGTTTGGCAAAAAACAAAAAATGTCTTCAAATAATGGCTATGATTTTCTCCGTTTTCTTATTTCTGAATACAGCTTTCACTATTAAAACGTTATTTCCGGTTGTATTTAGTGGTGCTCACCAGCGGTGAGCTCGGCACCGAATGAGTGAAAAGGTCATAGAGAAGAGATAATTCAGCGAAGAAAATTTTCTTTTTCGACGATATCATTTTCTGAAGCTGTACAATCGTATTTATATATATCATAAACATATAACAGTCCATTATAAAACAATAGGGTATAATTACATCACTAACCAAGTGCTACAAAAAACAGAATCAAGACTGCAAAGTAGTTGCGTAATAATCTAAGACAGTAGAAATATCGAGGAAGGCAACGAGTTTGACAAGGTGAAAATTGTTGTTAGATAAGAAACGCAAATATTGAGTGTCCACTTGACAGCAGATAGATGTGAGGAAGGTGAGGAATGAGAAAAGGGTCATAATGAAGGGATAATGATAAACTAATTAATTATAATGAAATCGAAAAAACAGAAAGTGTTAAGACTATGGTAAGATGAGAGATTGAACATACTTGTTTTGCACGCAGAGATCGGGCTTGAATTGATCAATTGCCAGTGCCTCTGATGTGCACAACTGTCGAAGGCGTACTCCTTTTGGTATCGTTGAAAAAGAAAATTTTCTTCGCTGAATTATCTCTTCTCAGTGAAAAGGTCGTTCGATGGTTAGATCACCTTGATCTGGCTAGCGATCAGTGGTGATCGGTGTGACCGGCATAAAGTTACTCGTGTCAGTCAGTAGTAAATTACATGCAGCTTCATTCTCACAGTCTTGACATGAAGTGAGGTGTCAAGCCGATAACGTTATGTGATCTTAAGATTTTGTTTTCTATTGGAAACCGTGGTGTGATTTCTCACCACGAACTGCTTAGTTTTTGTTGTTTCCGAACGGCTTATGGTATATGTATATATATTCTGGAACGAATATAATACTCGCGCTTAGCTGACAGCTAACTTGGTACGTAAGAGCCACTGACTGCAACCCCAGGACTAACTGAGACAAGACCGAAGCTGGCAGATGGGAGAGTGCATTACTCCGAGAATATAGTATAATAACAATGAATAAATCCAAAACACGTGAATAAGTACATACATGGAATGACCTTGTCTGCAATTGGAGAGATTCGCATAGTCAGAGTAAAGATTAACTAATAGGTGAATTACATTACAATGGGGGCAGAAACAGACTATTAGTCATACCGTAAAAATGGTGTGGGGATGACACGTTAAAATGTTGGGATCGATAACAATGTTTTATACAAAACTGGACATCACAACAGTTTTGTAAACACTTAATTTGAAAGATAATTACCTTTTTGTCCTATGCATAGTCTAAGTGGTTAACTATTCAATATCACTTCAAAATCCTGATTACAATCTCTCCTACCTACTCCAATTTGGCCAGAATGTATTGTTGGCACTAACAGCAGATTTGGTCGCACACTGGTACATTCATTGGGACCAAGTCATTTCAAACTACCAGATATGCAGAAGAGAAACACGAGAATGTATGTTGAAACGTCTACAGTGAAGTTGGGATTTGAAGTATTAGAACGAAAGACTTGATATGCCAAAATTGTTGATATGAAATAGGAAATTGAGAAGAATTTTAAAGTGTGTTTGATCTAGTGCTAAAATTTATTAGTCTGTTAGATAGTGCACTTTTGCGTTCGAAATATGTAGAGCTATGATTCAATAATATAGGCCCTTGATTTTCCACCAACGAGATGTGAGTTCTACTTCTCACTTCATCAGTAACATCTTTGGTAACTGTCTGGTGTTGACCGTAGCTGATTGACAGTTTTATGCAACAATCTACATGGCGTAGGTGAGTAACGATTAGTCGTAAGGTGTAGTCCCGCTAGAGAAGCCGATTTAGTCACAGATACATCAGTCTTGAATCGGTTAAAATGCACCTAATACATTTGGCTGTCAGCTGCCTTTGTATAATTAATTTTTATCGCTAATGAACTTCGGTCAGTCAGTGAATTCGCTTTTTAGACGCTTGGAAGAATGATCTTTGAGATTGGAATATTAGTAGATGGTTAATGGACTTTCTGTGCGCAGGTATTTTTAAATAAAATATATTTTTGTTCAGTAAAAGATGTCCGATTTATTATTCATTTATTTTATTTTCAGTTATGTGTGTCTTGGTTGGATTGAGTTTAGCTGAGACTGAAATTGAATACATTCATGATCATGGAGATGCAGATTTAACAAAAATGTTACTTTCTAATGGGTTATTGGGTACAAAAGCTCCTATGCAGTTTCAGTTATCATCTGACGGATATACAAATACTTTGGGATATCAAAAGACAAGTCAGCTAGGATCGGATAATCAATTCTCTGAGACAGACAATACTAATGGTATTGGTGTTGTGGATAAGAGTATTAATTATGGTGGTAGCAGTGGCAGCCGTAGTACAGATTCTGATTTTTTAGGTTCGAACGGCGAATTCGCCTTGTTTCTCACTCCACCACTGTCTAGCTTTTTCCTTTTAATTTCGGCTGATTTCATCTTTTTATTGAGTTTCCTAGCTGTTCTCATCTACTTTGTACGCTTGTGTGAAAAAGCTGATGAGGATAGGAAACAAATGCGAAGTGCTGAAACAAGTCATGCTTAGTTTGTTTGTCGTTTTCTGATTGCCTTTTACAGCTCTATGTGTGTGTGCGTTTGCGCACCCTTCTGCGAAGAAGACAGTTTTGACACCGGAGTATGTGTGTGTATGTGAGAGAGAGAGGGAGAGAGAGTAAAAATCTAGAAATATATGTGATGTGGATAGTTTGTATAACTGATTTTTCCATTTTATAAATAATTTCTTTGGTTGTTCGCTATGACCTACATGTTTCACACTGTTATTACTATTATTGTTGTTTTCAGTAGTTTATCAACATTTTCCTCATTTTGAATGCTTTAGTCACCCTCCCTCTAACATTGTAACCAATTACTGCTTTGATTGTCGATGCGAATAGAAGTATAATAGCGCGTCGGTATATTTCCATTTTAAAGATATTTATGTTGAATGCATCAGCGTTTTTTCTACAAAGCTTTCAGTAGGACTATGGGATTTCACTAACGTTGATATGTATGCTAAACCGCTTTCCACCTCCAGGTGCAATGTTACCTGGAATAGGTTTTAGGCTAGAAGAGAAGTTTTGGAGGGGTCATATCAAGACATTACATTGGACTGTAAATTCGCTGACTACCGGTCTAGAACTGTATACACGAGTTAAGGTTACCTGGTTGAGGTCGTCAGGATTTCAGGAATCAGTAATGGAAGACTTTTATGGATCTAGTTCGAAATTAATCATAGTAGCAAGCCCATTTTAGAACAATAAACATCAAACTCTGTTTTGATTCAGACACTTATGTAGCCGGATACCCTGAAAGTAAAGAATGGCTTAACGTAGTTAAGAATCAAGTAGAGGGATGGGGTTGATTTGACCAATCTATAGTGAGGCTGTTGATGATAAAGTTTTCAGCGCCACTGTAGTCATCATCTTCAGTGCAACTATGTGAGTGACAAAGATAAGTTTTTTTTCATAAAAATGTGCACTATAACTTTGAATGGTGACGCCTTCATATTGATTTATTATTCCTAATTTTTTCAATGCCTAGCGATGTTACTTGTTGATTGATATGTCGACTAGATCAAATTACAAAGTCCTAATAGTTTTAATTATTCCATCACTGTCAGCAACATAATATTAGTGTTAATAATGGGTAGTGACTAGAATTGGAGTCCAGGGAGCGGGTTTCTTCCTGTCTGGGGCTCACCAGTTGGATGCGCCTGTCTCCCAGTAAGCGTTGTTCTCATTAAGTGTCGAACTCATGACCACTTACTTCAAAAACATCAGAGCACTATTCACTAAGCCACTGACTCACGACAGCCACTCCTCCCTCGTGCGATAGGTATGGTTAGTAAATCTCTACCACTCACTGGGAGACAGGTACATCCGGCTGAGGAGTCACAAGTAAGGTGAAACACGCATCCTGGATCCTGCCGCTAGCCGCTATCCATCATTGATATGCTAATTAAAAATCCTGACAATATCGAGGCATCCGCACAGGAGCCCACACGCTAACGGTGGTCGATCTATTCGGTCCAGTAAACGATGGATACTTGCAAGCTGTACTATAAGAGTAATAGTGGTATTGTTAGTGATGTAATAAAACAACCACACGGTTTTGTTTACCAGTCTCTGAAGGTCAGCGAAACTTATTGGTCACTCAGCTATGCTATTTGAAACAAGATCCGAAGCTGTGACCTACTAAATGAAAGTCGATCTACAACCACAGCTATAAATCCGGCTTAATTTATCATTTACGTGAGCAGAAGTTATGTTGTGATGTTTATTTAAGTTATATGTGGGTCATGATATTGATATTTATATTTATTCACAAATTGACTTTCTCAACATTACGGAGACTATGAGTCATGGTCAAGATTCGATCGGTTGGGTGGAGTGGTTATCATATCATGAACTGTAATTATCGACCAATCAGAAGTAACCTTGATTATCATGATATGCTGGCCATAATGGCTTGTGTTAACAACTACAACTTTTAGTTGCACTTTAAGCGCTTGTAGAATCTCTGCTTTATCACACCGATTTATAATAAGCTAAAATCCACTTAAATTCTAGACTGTACGAGGTAAGTCAGTGATGTCAATATGTCGGTCAACTCAGTATAACAACGGATGACTTAAAAGCCGCCCTAGCAACTATCGGAACAGCCAATCAGGTTCCAGTATCTTGGCTGGGAAGTTAGGTTTTCATAAAATACAGATCCGTAATTGGCTGTCTTAACAGTTGCTAGGGTGACCTTTAAAGTCAATCATGACAACATGGAAGCTGCTATATTTACATTTCTATTCGCAGTTTTTTAAAATAAGATTTGTTAACTTTCATCGCTTTGGTCGGATCGCATGACTCATCAAAATATTAGGTATAAATCTAGTTGTAACATGGCTGTTAGCTAGAGCGATATGCGTGTAGTGACTGTAATCAGTTCGTACCAGTAAGTGGTACTAGTCTTTGCCGCGTCGTTTTGTGGTCCTAATTGTCGTTAAAATACACACTGGATGATTGGGTCTTGGTTGGAGGCAATCAGCAGGAAGCCCTGGACCTAGGTTTCGTGCTTTTTGGCACTCGTCAGCAAGGCGTATCTGCAACCTCGACAGAACTGATGTCTCATCCGAGATTCGGACCCGCGTCACTCAGTGTTGTAGTCAGCGGCTTTACCACTGAGCTATTCGGGCCGCGACTGACCTCATGTAGGGCTGGCTTACATGTATTGATTGGTCACGGGAGTGCAACCGATTTCATGTTGTCTAGTCCTGAGTGCAGATGGAATTCTATCTATCATATCTGCAATGTGGGAACCAAGCGGGTTCAAATCTCGGGTGGGACATCAGTCCCGTCGAGGTTGCAGATACGCCTTGCTGACGAGTGTCACAAAGCACGAAACCTGGGTCCAGTGCTTCCTGCCGATTGCCTCCAACCAACTAACATCTACTAATGTGCACCGCGATGCTGAGCTTCCTAGCTTGGTTGCCACATTGCAAATATGATCGATAGAACTCGATCTGCACTCAGGACTAGACAACATGAAACTGGTTGCACTCCCGTGACCAATCAACAGATGACTGGGTCACTTGTTGCAGTGGTACACTTTTCTTAGATTTTTCTCATCTATAACTATTTCCGTTTTTATCATCTAAGAGTAACAGGTAGCGGGTGTTGAAGAAATTTGAAGCCATCAGTAGGTAGTAATATATTTTTGTCCTGAAGCTATAAGAATCACAATGAATTTGTTGTTTGAAATTATATCTGTTCAGTAATATTTTGGTTCATTTGAGAAGATATATATTAATGATATGGAGATAAATTTCTGAAACACAGAAATCTAGACCAGGTGAATGCGCTGCCTTTTCTAATAAGCCAGGTTTCTTAGTACGGCTGATAAATTGCTACGTTGTGAGATAAATAAAGCAAAAAACATAACAGAAGAACAATGATTAATTCTCGTCTCCGTTGCATTCACGAATCATGTTTACTGAAGTACTTTAACAATATATATTGCCTTTCAAAACGGTTATCTGAAGTCATTTAACAGTAGAAAACAAAGATCAGCTTCGATGAACTCCTCAACAAGTACATAGTTGTGTTAGCGTGGGAATCTATCTTCCTTGTTGTTTATACATATGTTACAGAGCCATTTAATGTTTTTCCTGAATTTGTGTACCTGCACTTTCCTGTTGATTGTTATAATAAACGTAGAGCTGTGGCTCATTGGTCTAGGCAGTTGGTTTTCGACCAGAACGTTATGGGTCCAAACGCCGCTCCACCTGTCCAGATTTGGGCAACCAGATAGTATATTTAACCCTGGCGCAACTAGTGTGGCTCACTGCCTACTACACGAATGTCCACAAGGTCACTAAGTACTTAGGTTAAACCAAACCAAACTGATTAATCTGTTTTGGCGTACGGGATCCAAGATGTGGGGATGCCAGCTGGACAGTCACAAATAAGGTGAAAAGCGTATTCTAGATTGTATTGCAGGTCATTGTCGAATAAATTACATCTTACTGGATAGCTAGAGTTTCCTTAAAGTCTTCAGGAGTATATCTACAGGTTTATTTATTCGAAACACACTGATACAACTGCACAGGTATACTAATTTGTCAGTCCATTCCGTTACTCTGCTCCACATTCCGAAACCGGGAATTGGCACAAACCAGTTCTAAAGTTGTGTTCATGAGAAGGTTAAATAGGAATGGTGGCAGTGGGCATCCCTGGCGGACACCACTGGTTGTCTTCAAGTGATAACTCTAGGGCCGTTACCTACATCGTTGTGTGAGCTGGAGTGGAGATCCTTAGCACTATGCATTTGCTTGGTACTGCATTCACAGTCAGACAATGCCAAAACACATTTCAGCTGACGTAGTTAAAAACCGTGCCAGGGCAAGAATATATGGTAAGTCTCGGGTATCAGCATTTATGCTTATATTTAAAAACATTTTGACGGGTAAGGATTTAGTCGTTGTATCATCGTCTAGGTCTACTTACCTGACTTTCTCAAGTTTGTTGTGCTCGAATTCCACTTAGGTGTTGACTAATTATGGACCCTAGGATCTTGGGGAACGAAATTGACCAACCCAGTTCTCTTGTTGTTGTCACTCAAAACCTTCGGTTTTTATGTAGTGGAATTATTAACGATTTAAATCAGGAGGATGAGAATACCCCTTATTACCATACACTAGTTAGTACCTCAGTTACTGTACTTAGGAATTTTTTTTACTACACTTAAAACCTCTGGTGGCAAACAGCCTGGGCTCATTTGACGAAGACTTAATATTGGTACTTGTTACCACGAGTTCAGTATCGTTTGAATTACTGGATAGGTAAATTTACTGTTATTTATTACGACTGGTATCGATTCGATGGAAGTTAACTGAATTCGTAATCTTTGACCTTTCTTCATCCATCTTCTGCCTAGCAGTAATTTTCTAAACAATGTGGTTTTCGCGATTCACTTCTAACACTGACGTTGCGGCGCTAAAAACCAATTTAACAAAGCTTGATTCCCCATTCTCATTAAAAAGGCAGGTTTTCATAAAATGAAGAAAACAAATGAGCTATTTTAGTATTGTCATTGGCCTTTAAAGCTACACAGTACGGTGTATCGTTGACAGGCCATTCAGATGTGTATATATATGACTCAAATGAGCCTCAGGCGTAACTTTAAAGACTATCTGACCAACTGCTTCAATAACTAATTAGTTTATTTCATGAAAGGCTGCCTTATCAGCTTATATGAAAGGGAATTTATTGGTTACTTTAGTCGTTGCTAGGATGGTCTTCAGAGTCATCCCACCGTAGTTCACAAAAGTGAAACAACTGACTTCATGTTCAGTGAGTGGGTTAATACACTGTAGTTGAGTTTCCTCAACACACAGTTACTTCAGAACCATAAGTCTTACATAGATCAGTGAGGTGAAGCAGAAAAGGCTGCAGGTAGGAGA